TTGTTGGAAAGCCTTGAAGGAAAACAAGGAAAACCAAGGTTGAAGCCTCCTTTTCCAGCTAATGCAGGGCTATATGGATGTCCAACAACTGTTACAAATGTTGAAACTGTGGYKRTTTYCCCCACCATTTTAAGGCGTGGTCCTGAATGGTTTGCTAGTTTTGGCAGGAAGAACAATTCTGGGACAAAGCTATTTTGTGTCTCAGGCCACGTGAATAAGCCTTGTACAGTTGAAGAGGAGATGAGTATTCCATTGAAAGAGCTGATAGAGAGGCACTGTGGAGGAGTTAGAGGTGGATGGGATAATTTGCTTGCAGTGATACCAGGGGGTTCTTCTGTTCCACTGATTCCAAGGCACATATGTGATGATGTATTGATGGATTATGATGCACTCAAGGCTGTCCAAACGGGTTTAGGGACAGCTGCTGTAATTGTGATGGACAAGTCAACTGATATTGTGGATGCAATTGCTAGGCTCTCTTACTTCTACAAGCATGAAAGTTGTGGGCAGTGCACACCATGCAGGGAGGGGACAGGATGGCTGTGGATGATCATGGAGAGGCTGAAGGTTGGAAACGCGAAGCTGGAGGAAATAGACATGCTTCAAGAGGTGACAAAGCAGATTGAGGGACACACCATCTGTGCATTGGGCGATGCTGCTGCTTGGCCTGTGCAGGGACTCATCAGGCATTTCAGACCTGAGCTGGAAAGGAGGATCAGGGAGCGTGCCGAAAAGGAGTTGCTTGAAGTTGCTGCTGCTTGAATCATCCACCCAGGTGTGTTCTTGACATCTTGTGTCCATTGCATTCACAGACAACTCTCTTTTCCTGTCTGAATCAAGGTTCAAAGTATTGGAAACACAAGGTGTATCAGAAAGACAATTTTAAGAAACGTATTGGGATATGTTTTAGATACACATGGATACAAACGAAAAAATCAAGATACACATAAATATGATAGGAAATTCAAATAAGTCATAAAAATGTATTAGTAACAATACTTAGAAGTTTTATATGATTGTAAAACAAGGTTCAAGTCTTGCTATTGTTAACATTTGTAGTTTTTATACAAACAAAACGAAATTAATGAGAGAGGATCATTAATTAATTGAATTAATGAGAGAATTGGAATTAGGCGCTAAAATTCAAATTTGAATTTAAATTTGCCTTAAATATAGGACTAATTAATGAAGGAGAAGTTAGACATAAATATAGGATTAACAAATGACATTAATGAGAGAGATTTGGTATTAAATATAAATTAAACCAAAATAATGGAAGAAGGGGAACTGAAACAATTCGGTTTGTATCGGCCTGTTTCGGGCTCGTATCGATCGAAACAGCCCGATACGGGCCCATATCGGCTGATACATACGAAAAGAAACGGAACAAATGATTTATATGCGTCCGTGTATCGGGTTCTTACCAGAACAGTACGTATCGGCCGATACGTTGCAATATTTTAAACCTTGGTCTGAATGTGTTTACTAAGTTAGATACTAGCTTACATTTCCTCCCATCTATTGAGACTTAAAACCAGGTGATGGTTGACCATGGACTGTCCAATCCAGCAGGCCTGGCCCAGGGTAGGGTTGATCCTGTGCCAAGTTTGTTTATGTAATTTCCCATCCCAATCCTACCTAGTTGTAAGCCCAGTCAAGGACAGGCCAGACTTGGACTAGGTACATCAAAGCCCAGTCAGGAACCTGGTCCCATATATGTAATCAATATATATGATATGGAAATATATGCATGTTCTATGCAATTGTAAGATGGTACATACTGTTGTTGTCCATGCTGTTGACTTTGGTTTGAACCTTTCCATCCGCATTATTTATTTTTTATTTCTTAAGAATATCATACAAGCATGCTTAAAACTGTGGATATGTATATTAACACAAGAACAAATTATAAACTACATTTATAAAAATACATCCATATACTAAACTCAGCCTTAACCCAAAGGTTGGCCACATGAATCATGTTCTGCCATTGTGCTCTATCAAGAGCAAAGTTTGCCATCAAAAATAAATTCTTAGTTTCTTACTACTTTGGACCATATTTTCTTTAGTCTTCCTGTTGCTCTTTTAGAGCCTTCTACATGCACAAGTTCACTCATTCATGCGGTTGTTTGTTGTCTATATGCATGAACAAACCATCTCAGTCAACTATATCCCTCATTTGTCACTAATTGGAACTACTTTTAAGTCCTATATAAATTGTAATGCACTCACTGAATCACTTCTGATTATCTTTCATAGTCTTGCCACTCATCCATCTCAACATCCTTATCTCAGCTATACTTATTTATTGAATAAGTTGTTTCTTGATTGCTCAACGCTCAGTCATGCTCGATTTATAGAATTTCCCTTTTAGTTTCATTGGTATATGCCATATCTCACAGAAAATCAGATGCATAGTGTCTCCTTAATTATGAATGATTAATCTAAGGTACTGAAAGTGGTTGGTTTGGGGTATGTCCTGATTATCAATCTTAATTGCACCAACACTATTTTGTTTACTAAAATTGCAATACATGCGTTTTGTTCATCCTGGTCCAACTTGTCATCTCTCAATTTTTCTATATATGATATAAAAATAAGTAGATTAGATATCTTACAGAAATGGGCAATTGGTTGTTTATATACATTAAAAATATGAGTACATAAACTCCTTGTCTAGGCAATGGGTTAACAGAAACTTGATATTTTTTAGGGGGTTATTACCCCGGGGGATAGACACTTTCATTTGTATATTATCTCATTCTTTCTATTCATTTTGAGTAAAAGTTAACAGTTACCAATAAAAAAAGGCTTGCAGAAAAACATTGATAGTACCTATATGCACCATAATCTATATTTAGGACCCAAAGACCCGTTTGCCCGAACTGGTCCATGATCATATCAACCCTATTATGAAGGTGGTATTTGTGCATCTATCATCAGCATAGAGTGCAAATCTAGTGATTTATTGAGTATTAATGGCATATATAGGAATTCATTTTTTAACTTGTCCCTCTTGGATACAAGCCAGAAATTAATTTGTTTAGGAATAAAAACCAATTTGCTCCCATTGACAAATAAAAATAAAGTTTCTCTATTCTATCAGAAAAAAAAAAAAATCAATTTGCTCCATCCTATTATCTTGGACTGCAAATGCTAAGATGGATGAGTGGAAAAACTAGAAAGGATAGGATCAGGAATGAAGTCATCCGTAGAAACCTAGGAGTAGCCCCAATAGGTGATAAAATGAGAGAAAGTAGACTAAGATGGTTTGGTCACGTGCAGAGAAGACCATCAACAGCACCAATTAGAAGAAGTGATTTGTTACTAGTTGAAGGGGCTAGTAGGGCCATGGTTTCAAATGTCGCGACGTTTCGCTAATGTCGCCCGACATATGTCGATGTCGAGGCTCACCGACATGAAAATGGATGCTAATACCAAATCGGTCCAAATCATCGAAAAAAAAAAAGAAAACAGTTTTTCCTATTATGTCGACAAGATGTCAACTAATGTACATTAATAATATAATATATTAGTATATTATATTAATATAATACAATATATTAATATAAATTATTCCATCAATAATGTTCATTTAATATTTCAAATAAAATATTTATAAAAAAGAATTAACAAAAAATAAAAACAAAAGAATAAATTAATTACTTAATAATATAAAACATAAAATATTTTTCAAGTAATAAAATATTAACTAGTTAGTATTTTTAAAATAT